GTGGGTTATTATTTTTGCATATCCTCCACATTACTCCATGAATATAGTAATTTTGATTGGGTGGTTGACGTCGATGATCATAGGTCCACTACTGGATTTGCTATTTTTTCGTGGCTCACACTAGATTTCTTGGGCCCCGAAGCAAAGAGCTGTCTCACGGTCAAGCACTGAGATAGAATATCGATCACTAGCTGCTGCAACGTCTGAAATCACATGGGTTGAGCTTCTTCGAGAGAGATTGGTTGCTTCTTTTCTCCCGTTCCTACTCTTTGGTGTAATAATCTTAATGTGACTTATTTAACAACAAGTTTCATTTTTCATTCATGGACTAAACATATGGGATTAATTTTTATTTTATTCGAGAAAAAATGCATAATAACACCTTATCTGTCAAGTACGTAAGCTCTGTCATGGGCTGCTTTCCATCATCGACCCATGACCCCTTGGACGCGCCCCGTGGCGTCCCGGCAAGCCTCCCAACGCCTAGCGCCACGGTAGGCCCCGTGGTATCGGCAGCGCCAAGTGACAAGCGCGCATGCGCCTCTGTCGCCCCGCTGATAATCAGTGCTAGCGCTCAGTGGCTGGCGAATGCCATCAGTGTCGCGCGCAGAAACCATCATGTTGCCAAAAGCGTCGCAAGCACATATAGTGCCCCCCGCGCAGATCCAATGCCAAGCACCAGCGCCCAGACGCTGGCAGATCCAAATAGTGCCGCGCGCGGCCACAATAATGCGCGCGCAGACCCTGCTGCTCAAGACAAAGTTGCTACCATCAATGCCCCAATACACAAATCAATGCTTAACAAACTGTTGACGATGATAAGTCAGATCAGGACGGCTCAGTCGACGCAGAACAAGTAGGTGTCTTCAACGCATTTGTTGGCTCCATTCATGATACCTTGGCGGGAACCAGTGCTGGCCACCCCAAGAAGAACGCATTCCCAATCGACAAGAAAGGGAAAGGGAAGGCGGACGAGAGGTCTCCCTCATCACAAAAGAGGACCTTAATGTTCGTTGACATGAAAGTAAACGGCAGACCTATTCGGGCATTGATAGACACGGGTGCTAGCCACAACTACCTGGCCTCAACTCAGGTGCAACGCCTCGGTCTAGCAGTGCAAAAATGCCAGGGTCGTGTCAAGGCTATCAACTCTCCATCTCAGCCAGTAAGTGGAATAGCCAAAGAAGTGCCAATGAAGCTTGGCCCATACAAGGGAATATTCGACCTACGCATAGCTATCATCGATGACTTCGAACTGATAGTGGGATTGGAATTCCTCAGGCAAACAAATACCATCCCGGTACCATATGCCAACATGCTCCTAATGATGGGAGATAACGGGGCCAAACCCCGCACCATACCGTGCATACCCATAAAGATGGCCGCTGGAAATATCTCGGCCATGCAGTCAAAGAAGGGAACCAATAGACCTGAACCTATGGTTCCGGCTGCCCTCAACATCATCAGTCAAACATCAGATCATCGGCATCCAACAACTCATGGCGCCCCTCATTGTGTGAAGACTTGTCAAGCATTCCAAAAGGACAAGTCGGATCACTCAGCACAAGCGGGACTCTTGGAGCCGCCGCCTGTCCCACAGAGACCTTGGGAAAGCATTTTCCTGAATTTCATCACAGGATTACCCAAGGTCGTAAATCATGCAACCATCATGGTGGTAGTAGACCAATTTTCCAAGTATGCTACCTTCATCGCAGCCCCATAGAACATATCGGCAGAAGATACAGCTCGACTCTTCTTCTCTCATGTTGTCAAACATTGCGGTATGCCCAGCAACATCATTAGTGACTGCGACCCACGCTTCACTAGTAAATTTTTGACCCAACTCTTCAGTAGCCTCAGATCCAAATTGAGTTACAACTCAAACTATCATTATCAGCAAACATATGATCAAACAGACCGGTTCAATGACATGCTGGAGGAATATCTCCGCCAATTTGCAACCGGGTCACAAACACATTGGGTGAAGCTTCTGGATGCTGCTCAATTGTGTTTCAATTCACAAAAGTGCGCCCATACAAACAAAAGCGCTTTTGAAATTGTTACCGGACAGCAACCGCTACTCCCACAAAATGTGAATGCACCAAACATGCCATCATCTCATCGAGCTGCCAGTTTCTCTACAGAATGGGAACAAACTTTGAAGATAGTGCGGAGCTATCTTGTCAATGCCCAAGACAGGGCAACGAGGCATGCCGAACAAAACCGTCGCTTTGCCCAACATCAAGCAGGGGACAAAGTGATGGTAAGAACTCCGGGGTGGAACTTGTTTGCAAAGTGGACCCAAGATCCTCGCCTATTGCAAAAATACATCGGACCCTTTTTCATTGAAAGGCGTATCGGGAAATCCACATACCAGCTGAACGCACCAGCCTGGTGGAAAATCCATCCAGTCTTCCATATCAGCCGCCTCAGGCCATTTCAGAAATACATGGAAGATCATTCAGAAAGACATCTCACAACACCGAGGGGAACAAACCTCCCAGCCAACAAGAGCCTGACCAATCATCATCATCCTGTAGGTAAGGCTCCAAGGACGTCGCCAACTCAGGTGGGGGAGAATGTCATGGGCTGCTTTCAATCATCGACCCATGACCCCTTGGACGCGCCCCCTGGCATCCCGGCAAGCCTCCCAACGCCTAGCGCCACGGTCGGCCCCGTGGTCTCGGCAGCGCCAAGTGACAAGCGCGCATGCGCCTCTGTCGCCCCACCGATAATCAGTGCCAGCGCCCAGCGGTTGGCGAATGCCATCAGTGCCGCGCGCACAAACCATCATGTTGCCAAAAGCGCCGCAAGCACAGACAGTGCCCCGCGCGCAGATCCAATGCCAAGCACCAGCGCCCAGCCGCTGGCAGATCCAAATAGTACCGCGCGCGGCCACAACAATGCGCGCGCAGACCCTACTGCTCAAGACAAAGTTGCTGCCATCAGACTTGCTTCCATAGAAGATTAAGTCATTTTCATTGTAATTATAGAGTAGTTTTACTTCATTCATTTTCAGTGTGCTTCTACAGCTTTCTTAGGTCAACTCATGTAACTTTGGTTTATTTTTTTTAAGCATTATTAAGGGGGACCAAAGCATTCAAACATTCAAGCATTCAAACAATTCTCTGTACTGGTGTCTCCTCCCCTCCGACACCGCATTGCATCTTGTAATAGCTTTCATCATCATCAATACAATCATCAGCTTTCATCATCAATTGCTCATTTTTCGCTGCTCAATTACTCACGACATTGGTTTTTTCGTACGGCACTGATAATCTAGTCTAGCGTACGGCGAGGACCTCAGTTGGCGCATAGCAACCGCACTGACATCGATTGCTTAGCCTTACGTCGCCCTTCTAAGAAACTTCAGGAATGCGCCGCGTAACAGCTCTCGTGATCAAGTCGCCAACGTGCTCACTGAATCTTTGTCGAAAGCCTAGTTTCTTTGGTTGAAGAGCAAGTTGACAGTGGTCTTCGCCCCAACTCAACTTGAGGAGGAGTATAAAAGATAACTTTCGTGAATCACGGTAGGAGGAGATAGGCTCCAATATTACATGAAGTCCATGTGCGGATATGAATTCTATTCTTATTATCTTATAGTATTAGGAGACTTGCTCTCCAAGAACTCTTTGTGTATATATATTGATGTACCTCACGTTTGAAATTATGAGAGAAGAAGTCTTTTATATTGCGCAATATATTTCTTTCACGAAATTCATTCTATAAATATATAAATATCAAATCAAATCTAGTAGTATTTATTCATCCATTGACTCACACAAAAAAAATACGCGTGCATGTGTGTAATTTGTTAGGCACATTTACAAAATTAGATGAATTTACCAATTCTAGAATAAGTCATAAGAGAACAACTAATAGTCAATAATTTGACATGGCGCAGTTTATCTGAATTTTAGGGGAGAAGGCATAGGGTATTAGTCGAAATTGGGCAAAAGGGAGCAGAGAAGAATTGAAGAAAGTCTAACGCTAGTGGAAGTTATTTTTTTTGTTCGTTCAATACAAAGCAAACAAGTTTTTGGATGATAGAAAATGAGTTTGCTCGTCTTAGGAAGCACAATAAATATGTTTTTTTCCGAAATTCATATATACTCCCTCCGTCTCATATTAACAGTCGTGGTTACTAAAAATAGTTGTCTCAAATAATTTGTCATTTTAGAAGTTCAAGACAAAATTGATTATTTTTTTCCTTTTTTACCCTTAGTAATAATTGTTCTTGAAGATGGAGATAACACATAAATAGAATAAATATTCAATGAAGAGAGATTATATCTTAAAATATAAATAAGGGTAGAATAGTCCAATCCCTTTTTTAATTAATCTTTTTTAAAGGACGCGTAAAAGAGAAACACAGATAATATGAGACACAAGGAGTATAAATAACCAAACAACTAATAGACTTTTAGCGTAATAAAATCCTTTAACAAACTTGGCACGTATGTGTGTGACTAAAGAGGTAAGGGTTGAGTGGACCGGATTGGGCGCAAAAGAATTGTTTTCTTCCATGAAGAAATTAGAAATGTAAAAGAACCTAATGAGTTTGAATATTAGAAATGTTTTAATAGAGAAAGAAGAACTTTTTTATGCTTTAAATAAAAAAATTGTCTAGATTTAGATGATGATGATGGTAATAATAATAATAATAATAATAATAATAATAATAATAATAATAATAATAATTTGAAGGGCTAATCTGTGCACTTGATTTAAGGCTTGAATAATATAGATGAAGACCGACTCGGATGAAGCTCATTCAGACCAATCGACATATCATCATTTATATGAGTAAATGATGCAACGTTACGTAAGTTGCAAATGGTACCAAGTTTAGAGGGTTCTATTTTTGAAGAAAATTACACATGGCATGCCATGTGGCTATAAATTGGCACGTGTGCAATGCATGAAATACACCCATTAATTTAGTTATATTCAGGGCGGTTTAAATACAGAATATAATAGTTAGAGATAATACAAAACACCTCATATTTTAAATAAGAATTAGAAAAATGGGTATAGTTTAGGGGTTCTAATGCATTTCTGTAAATCTTTTTAGGGTTCTTCGCATTTGTTGACACCCTCAATGTGTGTTCTTTTTTGTGTCTTGTACCAAATCCTATTCTTTTTAAGTATATAATCCTTAAATTTATTTAATCCTAAACAGAGGACCAATTTTGTTTTTCCCACTTCCTTTTCTCCCATTGGAACATCACTGTAAGGAAAACCCCACGATCATGGACATAAAACATTACTTAAGAACATCAGGTAAATATCTTTCATCCTTCCTTTGCCCCATTCTCTTTTCTTCCCTTACGAACAAGAAACCTCAAGATGGAGACCAAGGTGTGTGTATTTTTTTATAAAAGTTATTCCTTCTATTTCATAAGATTTGATTGACTTTCGTTGTTTATTTCTTGCTCCATTCAGAAAACGCAAAATGTTGCAGCTGCACCTGAAACTAATTAGGCTTTGCGTTTCCATGAATTCTTCAGAAAGGTAAATTATTTCCAATTCGATGGTAGAGTTTTTACTATTTTCTTGCACTCATGATTTATTAAATATTCTGATTTTAAGAGATTAAAAGCCAAAAATAATTTTAAAAAAATGAGAATTTAGTAAAGAATTTAGAGGTATGCATGATGATTGGTGATGAACCAGAGACAACCATAATAAGCTTCCAATCATCAGCTGCTCAAACTAAATTTAGAAGCCAAAATGCAATGGGATTATGGGAATGTTGGAGATTAAGTGTACAAAAAAGTTATACGGCTATCTCGCATACGCTTAAAATGTTAAAACTTTTTATTCAAGGAGATATAAAGAGACTACCTACAAGAGTTTTCATACAAAGAGGTCTAAATTGTGATGATAAAATGCACTTAAGGTATGTGATGGAAAAAATACAGCTCAAAGTATCTATGTGATAAAACATTGTAGCTGTAGGTAGTCTCTAGTAGTGACGTTTAGTTTTAGATAAAGGCAAAGGTCCTGAAATGCAAGTTTTTAGAGGTAGAAATTATTTGCCTAGCCAGAGATCGTCCCAAAACTTGATAAGAGAAATGTTACCAATAATCCACTTAAGTCCAGACTGACATAATTATAACTACCATGAGATACATGGACACCTACAATTTTGAGTGTTTTCTCCAGTCGACCATGCCACACATGACATTACATTATATAATGTAAAAAAATTCCTTTTGAGATCTTTTTCTTTATGCAAAAGTAACCAAATATTTTTACCAAATTCATATATATAAATTATCAAATAACTATTAGAATTGCATCGCAATATAATTTCTTAATGAACCTAGCCCATATATGCGTGGTTAAAGAGGTTATTGTTGGGGGTACCGGACATGGGCCAAGAGGATTGTCTCCTTCCATGAAGAATTATAAATGGAAAAAGAAGTTAAGAAAAAATAATATTTATACGTTGTTTAGACAAATTCTTATCTTATTGATCGAATTAGGGCGCAGATGGTTAATGCAGAAGTAGAATATATTACATAAATATTATACTTTCTTTAGTTTTTAGATATATAAATATGTTTGTTATTTTAATTTCTATCCGTAAGTTGTGCTGCGAAGACAACACTTTACACTACCTCACTATGTCTAACTTATGAGATATTCTATAATATGTTTCACAGACAAAACTTAGCTAACATGAGATAACTTATTCCCTATGGGCAACACTTTATACTAACTCACTTTCTCTAACATATAAGAGATTCTACAACTCATGTCTTATAGGCAAAATTTAGTTCAGATATTTTGAAGCCACGACTTATTTTCCATCGGCAATACTTCATACTATCGCACGGTGTATAATTTATAAGATACTTTATGACTCTTGCCTCAAAGGTCATACTTACCACAGTGACTTTAAAATAACAATTTATGCTACCTCACTCCTGATTTATAGGCAAAGCATCAAGGACTTTAAATCCACAATTTGTGTCCCGGTGAGCAACAATTTACCCTACCACTGTGTCCAACTTATGAGATACTCTATAACTCCTGCATCAAAGGTAAAACTTAGCTCGAGGACTTTAAAACTACAACTTATGCCCCATGGGCAACAGTTTACGCTACTCACTGTGTATAAGTGAAAAGCAAATGTTACTTCACTCAAAAGGTTAATTCCACGATGACTTGAGAACATGCATCTCTTGGAAGTTTGATTCATATTAATCTTTTTCAGGAATACTAAGGCATCTTTGAATTTGAATCCTGTGTTTCTGACTGAGCGGATCAGTTCGTAATTTTCTAGTTAATTTCTAACACTGCTTCTATATTATTTTCTTCGTTGATGGTGATGATCACCTTGTAATTCGTCAATTCACTTAAAAGAGCAAACGGAAAAAGTGATTTGAGAAAACTAATGTACTTCACAGGAGAATCTATGATGATCAACAATGCCAATTATTTTTCAAGTGATTAAAATTAGAGTTTGATAATATCTTTTTCTTCTCAATATTTCTTTCCTTCCCCTCATTTTTAGGAGGATCAACATCATCCTCCTCACTAACACTTCATATGACTTGAACCTGAACTTCAACCTATCGATCGATTGGTGATAAATGTGATTTACCATTAGAACAAATTCCACTTGTCTGATCTCTTCTATTTATTAAGTGATTATTCAGCTTGAACTTGATTCAATCTAGCTAAATTTTATGTATAAATTAGCATTTAGCCATATTATTCGACCCATTGAAACTGTTTGTATCTTGAAACTGCCATATTCAGAAGCAAGCAAGAATGGGTTTATGTAGGACCCAATTTAAAGTTGCACCAATAAATTGCACGCTTCGAAGTAATAACTTTTTTAATATAAAAGAAGAGAGGTTGATTTGGATCACCCCGCATGCTGAACTAACGGCTATAGCATTTCATATTATTTCATTTTTATTAATTTGGCCATATATATTTTGGCGAATAAACTATTCTTCTATGATTGCATTTCGACAAAATATAAATAGAAAAGCTCATTGCATTCCGACCAAACATCTAACCACCCATTCCTGAGAAAAAAAAAAAAAACTAAAAATAGGAAAAAAGATGATATATTTATTTCTTAAGAGTCCGTCGTACGTCCTTAAATTTAAGAATTGATGGCAAACAGATGGGTTTAAGTAAAACACAAGTCATCTAATTTTTAGTACTACGAAGAAGTATACTAATATTTATAGTAGTATATAAAAGAATCGCGAATTTATTATTTACCATGTGCAAGAGCATTTCAATATACTTACTCGTTGTGCTAACAGAAAAAGGAAAACAATGACAATATAACTAGTTCCACGTGTTAGTTATTTACAAAAACACTTAGAGCCACTAATAATAAATAGCAGTGATCTAATATTACTTGTTTAATAAAGCATACTTTAAAGAGGATTAGAGATAACTTCTCATAAGAATTGAGTGAACTCCTTTATCTAATAAGTCGGAACCATTAAGTGCTTCCATTTTCAGTCATTAATTAATTTCCAAAATAATTTTAATATTTGAAAAGTACATAAAACGTCTTTCAAGTACCCAAAAGAAAAAGATTAATAACACATTGAAAATGTCATGATTGACACAAAAAATTGATTTTAGCTTTGTAGGTAGAACATAATTGGAAGAAATTGGGCGCATGGTCATTTACAATGTTAAAATTAAGAAAGAGTCCTTTTTAAATCTCTTATGTATAAAAAATAGATCTCTTATTTATAAACGTAAATCTCTCATATATATATATATATATATATATATATATATATATATATATATATATATATATATATATAT